CCAACTTTCCCTCTTTACCCGGGCTTAGCGCAGGTTAGTAACTAGTGAACTAGTTAACTAGGCGAGGTTATGCATGGTTAGTTTGATTTCAGTGAACTCCAGGTGAGACAGTGTCTCAATCTATACTTGAATTTAGTTCTGGTTAGGAACAAGTGATTATCAGAACATAGGTGTAGGACATGTTCACCATTGTTGTTTCGTTGGCATGAGATTTCGTTGAAACCTTCAGAATGTTCTAAATACACTTACATTATCGTTAGTTGATAGCAATATTGTTTTGAGTCCAGGTCCGAGCAGCAGAAAAAGGATGCTTGGTAGTACAACGGCGATGGTTATGCTGGAATTCCGTGATGTTTCGAAAACGGTTGTGATCTGTGCAAGGCTTCAGAAGACATTTTCCCTTATTTGACTTTTGACCAATGAAACTCTCCTGAGAATCTAAACGACTCTTGTTCTGCACTTTTAGATTCATAGTTAACACCATGGTATCTGTTGATGGCTCCTTTGTAGAGGTTACTCAGTTGATGGGAGAATTCATTCTTAACTATATATAAGTTGCAGTTAACTGGGGCACAGGCAGAGATGATGGAGCAATACATTGGTAGTTACTTCTCCCTCCAATCAAACATCATAATCTAGAGGCACTCAGACGACTACTGATGAGGATTCAGTCGACTAGAACAGCTTTCACTCCGGCCCTTAGTGCGACACCAGCATCAGTAAGGTCCGATGATAACACCACACGGGTTCCGGATAAGAACAATGTGAATACACGTTGTGAGCTGACAGATGCAGAAGTTATTTGAAGTACTTGACTAAAATCATGTATGCGGGTCTCTGAGATACAGGATACACATATCCAGAGTCACAGCGAAAGCTGTCTGTCGTCTAATCTGTAACAAAGTTTGAACGATGAAGGTAGTCACCCTAAGGTCTGCGCCGTTTCAGAATAAGTCAACCAGATATCATACTGAAGGAGAACTTTCTTGGAGCGATCGTTTACCGACTCAGGAAGTTGGAGACAGGCTAGGATTTTATTCAACAACGAATAGTTGAGGGCAACAAAAATGTTAAAAACTTGATGAGACGACACCTTCTTTCCTTTCTGAAGAATAGGACAACCAGTGGTAGAGACCAGTCAGAGGGGACCATATTTGCTTCCTAGCCCTAGTCCATAATCCCCGAACACCGTCCTTAAACATCTCCGGTACTAGCCTGCCTGACTTTCCTCGTCTCCGGTTTTTGGAAAGTTTTAAGGTGTACCTCAATTCTCCATTCAGAATGTGACTGGATGGTTAGCAACAGCAGAGTAGTTGGAGGTCAACTGATTTGTTTCTCTGACACGGTCTCACTACCCATTGATTTTTTTGAACCAAATTTCTTTGATCAATCCCAATACCCGTCGACCGTTACGTCTCACCGCGGCCTTTACCACTTCACTACCCACTACTGCTCACAGACATTGCTCGGACTTTTTACACCAGTTCAGGTCTCAGTTGCTTTGGTTCCTCACTAAGATTGGAGCTTGCAGAAATGCGTTCAGGTTAGTTCATTACTTCTGAAGAAAGTTCACTTTTCTGATTCTCAGCTGAGGTTTGTAACACTGTTTTTACAGTAAACTATAGATAGTTCCAGACGTAGACGGGATGAGTTATGTTACTATTCGAATACTCCCTATCCATTTCCTCTCTGAAGGTAGCCTTAGCACTCTCACCATCCAGGTTCCCTTGGAATGGTGTTGAAGTCGTAGTTTTCCAGAATATGTCCATTCACAGACATAAGCACACTCGAACTGACTGTTAACTGTCAAGCAGGCACGTGGTCCACTGAACTTCCTCCAACGATGACTCACAGCAACATAATCTACCTGTGTACACAATCGACTTGAAGTTGGTGGACGCCACGTCAGAAAACATCTGTCATTAAGTCTGAAGTTCACTTTGGTTCCTTGAACTCGATCCATTATCGACGGCTGCAGAATTGGATGAAACAAAAGACGATATGAAATTATTAACAGAAAAATATTTCATCACAAAGATGTTGAAAGCTGACAGTGATTTGATGGAAACTGAGAGCTGACACAATTACAGGGTGTTTGACACTTTTCAGCTCCTGACACCGTAGGAAGTAACTTCTTGGTGTAACACAAAAAATAATAGTAGTAATAGTAATGCGAAACCGTACAGCACAAACGACATCTGCCGTAGGCCAGTCACACAAAGCCTTTGGACAAGTTTGATATTTAACTTTGAATAACTTAAGTTCAGCCAGTAAACCATAATGCTAGTATCAGGAAACCACAGGCCAGTAGGAGTGTGCTATGGCTTATGGCGACATTATCTAACCACTGCCTTTCAATAGGAAAGGCAGCATGCACTGCTGGTCAAACGGAGAACCATCTTGCTGCAATCACACATCTTCGACCGACAGTACGGCTTTTCCCTCAGACCCCTTCTTAGTGCAAATATTTACACTATAACTGCCTCTGCTTTTTCTCAACCATAGTCCAACAGGTCTTTCTGTTATGGTAGAAAGTGGTACAACGTACAGCAACTGGTAAGAGCGCGTTGATGACTGAATATCAGCTCGGGTATGAAAGGTTCGCTGGGCAGTTGCCACCTTAAATCATCTCGCACTGGTTTGATAACCGAATATACATCAAAAGAGGAGTAAACTATACAAGAGTTCACTCTGTGCTATAACACGACTGAAAGAAGATTTGGAAAAATTTTAAGTTTTCGATCACAGCTGTTTTAGTAACATCGCTCGTGTATAACGAAGCAATCATGTCAGTAATGTCGAGGCTAGATGTGAAGTACTAAGCACGAAGGACAGGTCAGTCGACGAGGTAGCTTGGAAGCATCGTGTACATCGAGACACCTCCTGCCTCGACAGGTGACGTTAGTTCAAGGACTGGGTTGAAGAAAGCCTAAGGGTGTTCCGGCGCCAGCTTTGACTATTGGTCTGAGCTATGTAAGTTGCCTGGTTAGGGTTCCCGAGGCGATAGAAACCAATAGTTACGGACTCGCGGTGACATGCCTCAAAATCGATTACAATGGAGCAGATCCGTACACTCTTCGTCATTCTCAATAACTTGAGCATTTTGTTAACCAAGTGATATCCTATCACAATGCCCAGCTAGAGCAGTAAATAGAAGTGCTTTGTCCACGTCTTGTGTGCATATCTTTCAGTAGTTGGTCGAGGCTCACTCAGAGACTAAAGAATAGCCTACCCAGTCTTAACTTTTCATATTGCATATATCAATTTAACTGCTCCTGTGAAACAAGTTACATGGGGCATACGATTAGGCAGGTACGTCTCCACATGCTAGAATACTGACCGACTTGATTTGGAAAAGGTAAATTGAAAGTGGTGAAAAGTCCTGTAACAGCTCACTTAGTACGCAAAGGGTACCACATAGATGCCGATAAGGCTTTTAATGTCATATATTGTGTACCAAAAACAATATCAAGTGTAGCTCGCTAACATCTGCGCAACACTGCTGAGGTTGTCGCAATAAGATTAATCACACTTCAACTTTAGATTCAGGAATAACATATTTGAACGTTATTCGTCCCTTGGCCTTCGATAAACTAAATGATACTCCCATCTCCTTTTGTTTTTTTTACCATTAGATTCTTCATCTGCTTATATGTCATCTTAATGTTGATAAATTTCAAAAAATCAACTTTCTTACGGTCCCTGACTCACATTCCATTTTGGGAATGTATTCTCCCTAGGCTTAGTTTGGTTTGCGCTGTACAATTCCACTTTATAACTGTAGAACCTGAAGAGAATTTGTTGAAAAATTATTCTTCGTTCAGATTGTTTTTAATTTTGTTAACCCCTATATCTACTTACTCCCTTCTTATATATACTTGTCTACCTTAATATCACTTTTATACACTTCTTCATAGCAATTTGCACTGATACACTTCGGTAACAGGTCCTACGTTTATCTATTCGCCTGTGTCACACGCTGCTGAGAAGCCACACTTATGCCTTGCTGAGATTAGATTCACTACCTACGCACGGTTTTGGTGAAGTAGTCTGTTTCCTTATTCCGCCGTCTATCATGAATGTTTTCTAATCGGCTATTGTCATTTTAGTGCATTAATATCCTGCTCCTCAAACATAGTTATAATCTCCGTACATATATGCAGGAAATCATCCTCCGCTTTATTATAGGATAGTTAGAAACTCTAACTTAGGACCTTTTGTTCTACTTTCAATTCTGCTGCTAGTGAAGTGTTAAAGTTATCAATGGATGAATTCTAGTTAGTTTGCTTTGCGGCGTGGTGTATACCCTTTAGTTGTGCAATAACAGTGGAGCTGTAGCTCCGTGGCTTAGGGAGACCATTATCGATCATTGGATTACGAGTTCAAGCCCTGCTCCGCCTACCGAGGTTTGGGTGGTCAGGTAGTATTACTAGCCTTCACCCAATAGGTGTGGCTCATTGCCTACTGCACGGACGTGCAAAAGGTGGCTGAGTACGTTCCGTTCGTTCGTAATAACAGCACATACTCGATTCGTCAATATACATACACACTGTACGAACGCTTATCAAAAGCTGATTTTCATATATATTTCCCAAATTGTTGCGTGGAAGTAAGCTAAAATAAAACAACTATACTAATGAAGGATGTACTATCACCAAGAAATACGTTGAAGACAAATATTTCCGAATAACATTGATTAGATAATTATTAGTTTCCGACTTTTCAGTGAGTTGATGTCTTATTCTCGTATTCTGATATCGTGACATAGTACTCGAAAGATTTGTAAAACAAATAAACATTTGTACGAGCTACCTTTATTGGTACAGACTTATGTCATCATTTTATGAGAACCCATAGGTTATGTACCTAAAAATGTAGTGCTCATCAAGGAGGAGGTGAATAAGTCCATGGTACCAACAAATTATATGTACACTGATTACAACAAAAAGTAAAATGCTTAGTGAAATCAGTATTATTAGTGTTACATTTTGCATACTTACATCTAATGATGTTAAACAATACCAGCAAAAAGTATGTTTACATGACCGGCACATCATTTGGGCACAACCTTCTATGCGTTCAATAGGTACCAGACAAGCTGGACAACGTTTTAACCAGTCATCTGGAGAATACGGAGGGAACCCCACGGTTAGGACGGAGACATCAATATTATCGCTAATATCATTGTTGAAGAGATGAATACCTGTGTGCTTTTGAGAATAACTACTTTGTTTTGTCTTAGATCGCTGGAAGGATATTTTCTTGATTTTGTCTTTTTCAGTGGGCTTTTTCAAAGACGTTAGTTTATTAATGTATTCCGGTTTCGCTTCTGTATGTGGTAGTTTGCTTCTGACAGAAGTTTCAGGACTTAAATATGGATAAAGGCCTATATGATTCGCAGCAGTTAAGGTATCCACATTTTTTTCCAGGTGTTCACATGAATCTTGGTGATTTGATAACCGAGTGCCAAATTTCTTGTGTTTTTTTCGGTGCACAATATTTTCAATGGTTTCTTCGCATACATAAGGTCCGCCTCCCACGTGCCAGTTTAAATGACAACGAGCACAAAACTCATGAGAACACCGTTTGCATACAACCCGCACAGCTGGACGACTAGGTGTTGCTTGATATGCTAACGCTCCCCGTTCTGCAACAAAGGGTAGATCCTTTTGTTCCACAGATTGATCAAGAGATTTCTATACAAAAATACAAATTGTTGGAAAACATGTCGACATTATTGTTAAAAAACTGTAAGCGGATAACTTCACAACCTGGTTTTTAATAAATTATGGCATTAACTCTTTTGGTAACATCAAACAGAAAAATGCCATTTAGTAATCACGTACGTACAGCCAGGATTCAAATCTTCGCAAGTGTATTAAAGATTCCAAGTTTTCGGAATATAACAAAACCTCATTTTTTTAGATAATAAATAGTCACTTCAACCATAAATTGATAGGATAGTTAAAGAGCTATATAACTATATCTACAGGGCAACAACATTTGCGTGTTGCACTAAACCTAATCACCCAAAATCCTAGCGATCGGTCAGGTGCATGCACCAATTAGAAAGGCAAGAGTTTGAGAGAATACAGTCCCATCAGACTTTACTTTGAAGTAAGATATATACCAAGCGATCATATGAAACTAAAGATTGATAGTTGTATGTACATTTGATTGGTTTAAGGATTGAAATTCTGCATCTATTTGTTTCACAGGATTTCAAGTGATTGGTCGATAGGATTGTAGTTATAGGATTACCAATTACTTTGAAAATCCAACAATATAAAGTGAGTAAAAATGAACACGAAAAAGAAAAATCTATAAAAAAAAAAGTCAGATTGATGCAAAATACGTGTACAAGTTAGCTGATTTACTATGTACATGAATATTGTAATATTTTCTTGTACTTCTATAACCATCCACTAAGAGGGTTGTGGTTATTGACTTGATTTGCAACCATTCCGTCGCAAGCTCGAACCCCACTCCGTCTATCCACCTGTTTTTTTGTATACTACTGTGAAGTGTGGCAACTTGAACCAGTGTACTTGTGTGCGAGGTTCTACGTAGATTTTACCTGTATGTGCTCCGTTAACCGAGGTTTATGCAGCCAGATAGTATTATTAGCCCTCACATAATAGATATCGCTAATTGCCTACTAACACAATCATTTTTGAATACAACTTTCATGACTTTGGTTGCTGAGACAGTTTTCATACGACGAATTATAAATGTCTGTAGTAATTGATTCGGTATCTTTAAGTTACTGTAAGAGCAGATTAAGCATTCGAAATTTGACAATCAACGGTCATGTGTGACTGGCTGAAACTGGTAGTGTTTCCTATTTTAACTTTCGCTAACCATATATGTAGATGATTTTTCGCATGCTGTGAAAGGATTCTTACGGTGTTCTACATAGCTGACCCTACAGTATCATTTGAAATTATAAATATTTATTGGCAAGGAAATATGAGAAACATTGTCTTCCAGATATGGCGGTAATTTATGTGTGGTTGAAAACTAATCTTAATGTGGCTGCAGGAAATGTTCTCTTCAACGGGCGTTGAATTCTGTCTGCTGAGATTTTGGCTAGGTTATCCATCTTAGGCTGAAGATATGATTATCTGCTTTTTTACGGTTAGAGATAACTACCTTATCCATCTTTCAAGGTAGTATTTATCATGCACTAACATGAGTTGGGGGATGACTGAAGCACTCGAGAGATTCGTTTTGGTTGGGATATCCCAATAGTGTGTATGTAGGACTCCATGAGGGATCGAGCTTACGAACATCAAGAACCTTAATATTCTGCCAATAGGTTGTTATCTAATCGTTCACATTTTTCTATACCTGTTGATACGCAAGAAAGTGCGACCGTCAACCGACTTGATTGACTCTGGAGGTTACGGTTTTTCATTAGATCTTCGGGAAATCGATCTGAAAACAGGTGACTAATGAATCGACAATAATTCAAAGTGGAAGTTGATTTCAGTTAGTGACGAGTTTATGGTGAATAATACTTTGAATTGCCAACCGATAGCTGCCACCTGGACGTGGTGATTGAGCTTGTATATCACAATGATCCAACGATCTACGCTGTTGGAACGCTTGTTCCCTCGAGGTGCTACTCTAACACAAAATTCAGTCGGATAGTGGTGAGGCAAAAAGTGTAAGTTGCTACGCTATGGTGAGGGTTCGAGGGAGAAGTCATATTGGCGCCTGGACGAGAGTGAGATAACAGTAAGGTGTTTTTCTTGGATAATCAACAGTGTCACAATAAAGCTGCCTTTCATACAGAATACCACATACTAGTATACTACGTGGCATAAAGGTGTCGGAGATAGAAGTTCACAGTTGGATTCACAAAAAACAAGGTTAAACCTTAAACGTTTAGAACGACCGGGTAACCGACTTCAAGCAGATGCGCCATGGGCTCTAGGGTGACACAGGCCTTTTCCTTTTTAAAGTAACCCAAAGAGAATTAGACTCCCACGATGGGGGCAGTCAGGAAGTGTCGGCCGCCCACAGGCTTCCAGTAATATACAAAACCCAATTGACCATAGTTTATCCTCCTTACCTCCGTTTTTTCCCTTGCCTGGACTTTCTGCTACCAGTGATAAACCTCTTATAACTTTCTCAACTTCTCACGCTGCAACTATTGCCGAAGATGCAAGACAGCGGAAACTCATTTCTACTCTCCTAAAGCCTCGCTGTCAGTTCCAAATTGGAGATTCCAACGACCGAACCCTATAACAGGTCGGATAGTAGGCAACGATCGCCAGAACTGTAGGATCCCTAACCATGGATGTATGCTAAGTTTCTGGGGGGGGGGGGACACAGGACCTAAGTGTGGCTTATTCCCTTGACCTCACCTCTCCAACGTGGTAAATATTCAAAATTAACCTTACGAGTATCCAGAGATCCGAAGACTAGCTTTCTTGAACTCACTAGTGTAGATATAGCATTCAGTTGTAGAGCAGAAAGTTCACCCCTCAACTGCATACCAAACAATCACCATCTGTCAACTGTTCGGCTGGATGGATCTGTAAGAACTAGAAACGATCGTGAGACTTTCCTATGCCTACTTATGATTACCTACGCCCCCAGACTGCAGTTCTTATTATGCTGAGCATGAATTCCATCAACAGCTGTCAGTTTTGCTAAATTACCCAGAAGGTTTAGATATCGCCATAAAGGTAAAGGGCTTCAAAGCTAAGGTAGAAAAAATTGAGGTAGTCTAAAACGCATCCTAAAGGTTTCAACGAAATCTCATGCCAACGAAACAACAATGGTGAACATGTCCTACACCTATGTTCTGATAATCACTTTTTCCTAACCAGAACTAAATTCGAGTATAGATTGAGACACTGTCTCACCTGGAGTTCACTGAAATCAAACCAACCATGCATACAGAGAGACCATACTGCTATACGTCATCGTTGGAGAGGATCAGTGAAGAGTAAATTGACCATGTGTCTTCGTGGTGATTGCAAGTAATGGTAGGCGGTGAAGGCGAAATGGGTGGAGAAGGCATCAGAACTAAGTAGTATTCGACATTAGTTTTGACTTATCAAGGATACTGGTCATACGAAGACGGTGATTAGTGAGACCGTCGCCGAAAAGGATGGGTCAGCGATGACCTCTCAGAACAGGTGGCTAGAACTTTTGATGGAACACTCTGAAAACAGTTTAGCTGACCTATAGTCACGCTTGAATTGCCAATCATCGAGGTCGGGCGTGAATGGGATGCAGATGTCGATCCTTTACCTCGCCTGGAAGTTGAGAAGACTGTTTTAAACTTGAAACGATGCAGAGCAGCGGGACCTGATGCTTAGCCGCCAAGAATTTTGAAGGATGGAAGTAGGAAATTTCTGAGTACAGTGATGGAGGTACTATGAAGTAGCGTATGAGGCTCAGAAGTAGTCGTGTTGGGTTGATCATCTCAGCCTATGAGAAGGGATAGGATTATTGTTTTGATGATCATAAGGGTATCAGTTTGATTAAAATCGTGTCCGAGATTCTTTAGCTTGTGATCATCCAACTCCTAAGTGGAACCTAAGAACGTCGAACCCAAGGAGAACAGGGAGAATTCAGGGATGAAATGTATCCACCAAATCTTCACCCTTCGACAGGTTACGGAACATGGAGATACTTACGGGTTACAACCTAGTTTTCACAACCAGAAATAAATCAGTCAGAACACGTGATTATATGGATAGTAGTCAAACATCAGAACGATAAATGTTAGTCTATAGACAATTCATTTATATATATATATATATATATATATATATATATATATATATATATATATATATATATATATATATATAATCATTGTGTAAACCATGGAAAACTGAAGTAATGATGCGAGACTGAACGATAAAAAAAGAGGAACTGCATCAAATCGTGAATCGTTCAAAGATGCAAATAACTTGAAAGGCGAGTGAAACCAACAAAATCCACAGTAACATATGAAATAGTATATGACACGTTCACTACACAAAGGAAACCAGAACGAAGGACCACTTTTCTTGAGACATTTGCCAAAAGGTGCAGAAAAGGATTTCTAATTGATCTGTCTACAGAAAAATGTGGAATGGAAAACTAGTTTCTACAGATGGGTTTCTACCGAAATGTAATCTAAACTATCGCGTTTGCTACGAAGCGCAGGCTACATGTATTGTAGATTACTCTGAAGAATTTCCTGGGGATCAAATATGTGAACAAAAATCTGAGGAGAGGGGCATAAAGCTGGTTGACATTTCAGCTTTAAAAATATGCTATATAGGAGTAATGCGTCCTATAACAAGTAGGAGAGAGTTCTTCAATTGAACTTAACTGTTTGATTTCGGAACAGATCTTTTAATTTGTAAAGTATTTTTTCGGCTGACTGCATCTATATGCCTGTAACAATTCACTTACATACATACATACATGAAAATGTTCCGTTGTGGCTTCCTAAAAACCACTTTGAATTATTCTTCTAAACACACAGATCTGAATCCTATCCCATAACTTGAATAACCTTGACCAGTTAACAGACCTACATGATTTTGACGATGTTTATAGAATTCACTAGAATATTTCAAAATGATATCAATCAATTACCAAAGCTACAACTGTTGATTATTTATGAAATGAAACCCAAACATTTCGTGTTTACATACCATAAATGATCCAAAAGAACTTCACGTAATTCTTCTTCAGTCAATCAGTCTACATCACGGATTCAAACTACTATTATAACTTTGTGAATAATTGAGACTTTTCATAGTAGGGGAATACATCAATAGGTTTCCTGAAGCAAGATCATATATTACATTGAGTGTAACTTGGTAAGGTACGCTATATGAGAGCAAAGAAAAACTGTGCGTAAACGTTTACGTTATGTGAAATATTGCAATCTCAGAAACAAAAACCCAGTACCTAAAGAATAAAATTTAGATCAATAAAATAAACTAAAACGCACAAAATAATGTGAAATAACTGTCAGTCCGTATAACAAATAAATAACGAACAGGTACTTACCGTCACACGGTCTCCGATTTTACTTATGACAGTATTATTTGATGTTGCATAAGATATGTTTGGAATCCTCAGGCCGCTGCTGTCATGAAAAACCGCACCTTTAGGATTGGGAGCATCATGCTCATGTGAATTGCAAATACGTCTTTTATACCATCTGCAAAAGCGTTTCAGAGCACGTCTATTACTTTTGAGAGGTGGATTTGTACCGTTCGATAAATTCATATTTAGGTTAGCAGAAATTTGGCAGACAGCACCACAATTCACCGCTGGGCAAAATGTCAAGTTGACATTTTGTTCAACTTCTACATTAAGATATAAATGAGGACGAAATAACCAACTAACCTCGTTGAAGCTTTTTCATAGAAAAACGCTCATAAAAATCAGACGGCAGCAATTCCTTGATCTAGAAAACACTTAAGAGTTATTCAACCAACTCACCTCGGAATCTGTCAGCCATCCACCTTGACTACATCTGTAACTTGGACATGAACAACTGATATCAATCCGATCGCGCAGAACAGAAATGACGTACATTGTCAAACACTGAAAAGAATAACTAGACACTGAATATATGCTTGCCACAAAAAATTTAGCTTGGAATTATTTTTAGTACGTAACTTTTGTGTGAATCTTCGTGGACGTAGATATCCTAATTGTGAACTAATATTATGTTACCATCTACAACAGGTTTGCTAGCTAAGTTGAGTCACACTTACTGTGTAATGATACTACGCATGTTATGCATATTTACACGAACAAAAGTGCATGACAACGAAATCCAGAGATCACATGGAATGGCTACACTTTTTGGGATACGCAAAATAAACACACCATATTAGATTTTGAATAAACACCAGACTTCTATCACCACAACGACAAATGTTACAAGCAATACTGTTATTAATACTACTACATATGACGCCTCATCACATCTTTACATCACCATCATTTCATTTTAGGTAGCAGCACCTTTCATGAAGCTACTTTTCACTAAGCGAGCTACAAAATGAATGTAATTCTACCACGTGCTGGACGTTCCAGAGTTAGTACAAAAGGTTGGGAACGCGAGGAAGCTATCAAAAGTAATAAAAAGTCATGAACGAGACAACAATGAAATTCAGCATGAAGATTAATAAGATGATAATGCGTGGATACATCTACACCCCTGATATTGATTCTAACCCATATCATTAACAATCTCCAACCACCGATTTCAGGTGTTATATGGACCACAACTGGGGAGTCTGTATTTGCCTACACGGCTGGAACTGATAGTCAAGAACTCTATGGAATCGTTCCACCCCTTAATCTGGTCAACTCTAACCTTTCTTCAGCCTGAACCTATATTGTTTGACATTGCACGACTAGGTAGACAGTGGCTGGGTATGCATAACAGGTCCCAACAATCTGAGATGATGGGAGTTCACTAGGTGCTTCATCAGTATTGATGGTCGCATACCTGTAAGCGTAAATATATCCAACAACCATAAGTTACATTGGAATAAGGTGCTAAATTACATAGTTCGCGGACTATCCCACTGATAACATTTCAGAAAAGGTTCGTACCGAATTTCTCATGTAAATGGAGTGAAGGATGAGCACCAGTAGCATATAATATTATACCTGTCTTATTCAGAACCATAACTTTGTTTACAGTACGGAATTCTCAGCATGTGATAATGCTTGAGTTTACTTATTACACACTATTTTTAAGAACGTATCAATGGTACTGGTTGAGGGTAGACAATAAGTAACAGGATCGCTGAAATGTTCAATGACTTCAGAATTATGTTAACTGTTCGCTGTTGCAAATTTGACTGAGAATACTATTTACTACGTGGTTTTCTCTTCACAATACACAAGCTAAGAAAAAGACTTTTGGATTTGTGTATGTAGTGTGTGCATAAAGTTTAGTGTATTCACTTCTTGTCTTCTCTGGTACTGCTATGTAATAGTGCGAGTTGTCACAGCTAAAATCAGAGTAAAGATAACGAAAGGGAGGGCACGGAAGCAAAGTGGTCCGAAGCAACAGAAAGCTATACGACAAATGGAAGTGTGACGCAAGCAGCAAAATGTGATATTAGGATTACGATTTTTGCCATCATTTTGGAAAATGAGAGAGACAATGTGAGTGTATATGATAAATTTAGAGCTCGGGACATTATACATCCTCTACTACCACAACTGCAGTCGCTGAAGACTGAGTTAACGACCGTCAGCAGACTTACGAAGTCAACTAAAGCAAATAAGTGAGGAATACCTAAGTTTATTGTTCATAGTTGAGAGCAATGGTGTAAATCATCAAAATATCTGGCAAACTTAGCAACCATTTGAGATGGTCCATCGATAATAGTGTTAGTCAGTTAGTGTTTAATTTCAGATAACGTACTCCATGTCCCGTTCGTCAAACCTGCAAGTGGTAGATGTCAGTAAAGTCCAAAGGAGATAATTATATGGGCGAACGAGTATCTATCACTTAAGTGCAAGTCATGACGTCCAAATATGCTTTTGAGTGCAGACAGCATTTCACAATAAATATAGGTTGGCGACTGTTAGGAGCTACACAAAGGTGACGTGTATGGTGTACATACCTAGTCTCAGTGAAACGGCAAATTAAAAGTGACATCTGAGACCGAACACTTTGGAGGAACAATCAGGTAACAAAGCAGGAAACATGAGACAAATTTCAAATTGACGTTTTACCACATATATATACGTCTCACTTACAAATGAATACATTTAGAAGTTCTTCCTAGAAATAGTCGCTTACTACAATCTGGACTTTAGCATGATGATACACCTGCATGTTTTCATTTAAAAGGATGAGCGAGAGTACAACTCCCTCATCCACACTAAACGTTTGGCAAGCATCATGCTGAAACACTGCCAGAAAGAGACATTGGCTTTTTATTTACGTACATTTAGTCATCAAGAAGGATAAAATTTCAAGCACTCGCTGTCTCACATAAGCAAAGTTTAGGTAAGAGATTGAGTTCACAAAGGGTTCCCATCAGCATTTACTTTGGGAGCTCTTTGGAACTTTCGGGTTTCACCCGAAGCTACTTCGGGCGTACTTAGTAACTTTTAGGTACTCCCCCTAAGTTTCACAAATATTTCACTTGGCCGCTAACATTTTATTGACTTCGATAACATAAACACATGTAGCACATAAACGTCAAATATTCAGGTGAAAATATTACGGATTAGGCCTTCTCATCATTTGGAATATGGGTTATTACTAATCTACGGGCGCACTACAGACACTTTGGGTACTTTGGGCACATTGAAGAATTTTAGGGCGCACTTAGTGACTTTTGACACTTCGGGGAAAAGGTTTGAAACATTCATGCGTCGCCCGATATGCGCCCGAAGTAAAATTTTCGGTTTTAGCCCGAAACTCACAATGTGCACCTGAAGCTAATGCTAGCTGGGTTTGCACACACCCCATAAGCATTATAAAGAAATATGAAATTCCATGAACTAACCTCTCGACAGAAGGAGCACCCGCATTTTGAAAGCACTAACATATTAGCACATGGTACTGATTCAAAACAAATATTGCAGAGACCATAGTCACTCTCTATCATCCTGAAACCTAACCTTGCCCTCCCGTTATTGGGTGATTCCGCGCGAGCTTAGATGCATTGCGACCTCAATGCTCAATGCCCAATGGCGTACCATCTACTCAATCTTCATTGTAAAGACCAGTACTCCTAGTAGCCTGTAGTGATGCAGAAAGCATTTAACTTTGTAGGAGTAAAGCTGCTTCTTGAAAGTGTTCACCTAAAAAGCTGCTTTCACAAGCTCAGTTAAAATGTTCAGGTTGTTGACCATCCGGTGAAATATTCTGAGCTCCACTTGTGGTTTATTCCGTCGTACCTTTTTAATCCTTTTGTGAAGACCCTTTAGATGGTTGTTACCAGAAAAGGGAATTAGACCGTTGATCTACATGACAAAATCACATGTTGCGTAAGCCAGTCTGTCCCAGCTACAGCTTCAAAGGACGACAAGCAACCAAAGGTGATCCTCCACCACACCCCAGCAGTTAGGAGGTAAAACATACTAATGGGCTGCCACAAGAAAAAGTCCCTTGGCTCGACCATAAAACAGTTCAAACAGGAGAGGTTTCTTTGCACTGGGCCATGAGAGGTGATAAACATTAGTACCAGTCCAGTCATAGACACACTTTTCCTTATGTAGCATCATTTTGCATCAGACTAACACGGGAGTCTCCAACTTGAAAGATTCTGATGGATCTAATAATGGCGATAATGAAGCCTATCGTGTCTTGGGCTGACCCATGCTGGTAAACTTTATCGTCAGTGACTGGATTTGCAAATGCCAATGTGTACCTCGGTGAAACACCTGGGCCGTTACACTACGATCCGAGTTTCAACTAGGTAGATCTTAAGTTGGTGGTCCCAAGAAGAAGCACGCCCCCGGGTTTCGGAAAGACCACTTTATTGTCATTCACGAAGAGGCCTCATTTCTCACTGCGCTCCTCGGTAGATTACTTATACACCCTTTTAGCCACGATGAAGCGCCTAAACTCGGGACGCTGGGTTACATGCATGACTCAAAGGGCCACTGGCGAAGCAACCCAGTTAACCGTATGACTGATACTTTTATGCTCTCCCTCGAAAGCGGTGGAGTCGCTTATTCGAGACAGTTCATGCTACTGCCTGACATCCAACACTCCTTTGCATCGCATCAGCAGGTTTTAGATAAGACTGTTCATATGTCACCAGCCCATTACTTCAATAATTGGTGTGAACGGGGTTGCCAACCGTCAACTGAAACAGATGTCGTGTACCTCAATTTTTATTGGACTTTCGTTCTCAATAGTCACAAGTGCTCATCAACCGTTTGGGGGTGGATAGGAACCAATGAATCGTTAACCGACTGTTTTCGTCATATTCTCGTGGTCAACACTGCAGTCTTAGTGAAATCTGGTGTCTCTTACGAAACCATATGACAGTGCAGCCTCAATAAGTGAATATTATTTTACACTCAAATAATGAATATAAGTGAGGGAGGCCGGTCTATAGGCATCATCAAGTTGATAATGGTGGAGAGATCTGAAACATTTGAGCTGTGCTGAATGGTGCAGAAAGGACGGCGTTAAATTCTATCATAATATCAAAGTATCCGGAAGTTATGAAAAGAACTGGGAATGCAACTTTTCAGTCCATGCACATTGTTTATAAGGTTGGATCGTTTCCACTCGCCAGTTTTTCACGCTAAAGTGCCATCAAAGTTACACAATATTTGATGTCTGCGTCGCAAGTGACTGACACCTTTGGCCCTTCTGTATAGTTCCTGGCTTTGTCAGACAACATCGTTTCGCATGGTCATGGCATCACTGGCTAAGAAGGACAAGCGTTAACGGTTTCAGTTATCAGTAAGTGTCCATACAGTCACGCAATCCACATGTGTGCCAAAGTTCAAGCATTTCCCACTCACCATGCTACCGTACACACCAATGTAGATGTAAGCCACTAGAATTACCAGTTGTGGTGCAAGGAAATGTGCATTAAAGGGACTATCATCCAGCGGTGGTGGGTTTTTATATAGAATTCACTTAGAAAGATGCAGCATTATCAAGGAGATACTTTGGCATTCGATTACTTTCCACCTGACGTAGTCAAACGAGATTAGGTGCTGGAAAAATCTGTTGCGTAGGACTGCTGCTAATAGGTAGCATCTAAAGTCTCTAGGTGAGCCGATCTCCTAGGTTTAACTGACTGTCGAAATTTTCTCCGCCCCAATGACGGTCATGAAATCTTGGGCCAGCTATTGTTGTTGACTTTCCGCCTAAGGTAGCATTTATGGTGCTGGTAAGCATGTGAGTTTATCATAGGACTTTTCAGAAAGTTGGGAAACTGTGGGCACAAACCAGTTGAAGAGCTCTTTAAATAATTTTAATGTCAGATTCAGAGCAGTATTTTCAGTAGGTTTACATTTTTGGTCAAAGTTGCAATTGCGATTTTCTCATCAAGCTTTTTCTGAAAAGGGAAGAAAAGGGGAAAATCAGAGGATGACATACCACGAAAGAAAAATTAAGAAGACAGGAATTCCTATCTTCTTAAACTCACTCCACCTAAGGGCTCAATGTCAAGGCCTCCCCTGTTCGTCACGTACATAAACAATGTGCCTCTGCGGGTGTCTTCTGGAGCTCTTCTGTTTCCTTATAGCGTGAAGCTGCGGTCAGAAATCAGAGACGAAATCGACGGGGTCACTTTGCTAAGCAGTATGGTGAAATTTCAGCATCGGACAGATGATGCCAGGCAAATCCACTCCGAAAAATTTAAGGTGACATGTATGCGGCACGAAGCGTGTGGCACATAAAAACTCAACGAGATAAATGGATAAATATTTTATTCTCTGGTTATGAATTCAACATAAGAGAAGCCGGTCCACAGGGATCATCAAATTGATAATTACTGAGAAACCTAAAAGATTTGAGCAGTGTTGGATGGTACGGAAGAAAGGACATTAGACTCTGTCATGATATAAAACGTCTAGAAGTTATGAAAAGAGCAGGAGTATCATTTGACAGTACACAGACATCGTTCTGAGTTTAGATCATTCCTACTTGCGATTCTTTTTTCACACTACAGTGGCATAAAATTCGAGCGATATTCGGTATTTGCTTTAGGAGTAGTCGACGTGATTTACCCGTCCCCAAAACCCAATGTTTCGTCAGATAAACTTCTATTTTAACAGCAATTCTTATGTTCATAGCTTTAATAACCAAGAACAACTTGCTTCAATGATTTCAGGGATAAGTATCCATATATCATTTAATTCGGGTGAATATCTAAATCCGGGCATTTCTCACTCTTAGAGTGTTATCTTTCTCAGAAACTCAGACTGATAATACTGGAACTATTTGTTGTGGTGCAAAATAATTAAAAACTGGAAGAACCGTCGTTCAATAGGGGTGGATTTTGCACATGCGTAAAACTTCGTAGATTTCATACTGAAGTGTGCAACACTGTCAAGGAGTTGCACTGGCTGTTAACAAACTTTTGTTAGACGTATTCATACAAGACAAAGCACTAGAAAAAATCTTTCGCGCAGCATTATTACGGTTCTATTGCGCTAGGTAGAGTCATCTCTCGGATTTAGTTGTTTATCCATACTTCCGCTGCATTTATGATGGACCAGAAATCAGAGACCAGTTATGGTGCTCAGGGTTTCGTATTTGTTAGCATTTAGTGTACTGGTAGTCAGGTGAGCTAACTGTGAAGCTGTTCAAGAAATGTCAGTTCCCAACACTAGGTACGAAGCAGGATTTTCAGCAAGTTGATAGCTTTTGATCGGATTAATGCTTACAATTTTCTCGTCACGTTGATACTGAAAAGAGGAGAGAAAAAAGGCTCAAGAAGAGACTGGACAATGGAACACTACGCAAAACATACTGGGAGGAGAGAGGTTCTTGTCTGTTTAGAGTCGAACTATACGTAAACTTTAATTTGTGCATATAAGAATGACCCTTCTGATTTTCTTGCGTGAAGTTCACGCGAGTTATTAGATAGGCAGTTTTATCGGCTAACTTCATTAGTTAACACTGACTATGTATTTAAACTGCACACTCCAGCCGGATTAACTAGTAATCAACGTCCTTTGTGAGTCCAATGAGGCAAAAAGTACTTGAGGCTTACGATGGCTAACTTTACACGTTTAGAGGTCCTAGTACGCCTTCACTAGCCAGGCGAATGATAGACTCATTATCTGCGAGGAGCTTATTAAGTGAGGAATGAAGGACATCATGAACCCGCGGCACGTATCCCCTTAGGAAGTCGATCCTAATGCGAGAGAACTTACTGAGGAAGAAACGTCCTTGCAATCTGGTCGTAAAATATTCATTTTCATCTAATAGATTGTGATTACGTAAACAGTGAGTAGATCTTGCATCTGTTTTAGTTTCCGGGCAGCACCAGTGCACTTGCTTACGAAGCAATTTGTGGTAAAATATATGATTCACTTTAAGTCGTCTCTTCCAGAGAGGTTCTAGCCCTAGCATGTTGGATGAGGCCGAAGGAATCTTAAATGAACAGGATCTTGGGGTCGTAGTCTCCCATGACCTTAGGTCCTCTGGTGTGACAAAAGTGCTTCTGGTGCAGAGGTGATACTGTAGCTCTGCAGTGAGTCTTTGGATAGTCTGGTCAATGACCCTAAAGATATACGAAAATTTAGATGCCCGTTTAATTAAGCTAAGCCTTAAACGAACCTGCCCCTCAATAAAAGTTGCTCGGACTGCATCATTACAGTCCTTCAAATGCAAACTAGACGTTAACTTTAGATCACAGAAGTAGCACTCAACTAATCACCAAATGACCTGACTCTTTACAGCTATTCTTTGTCTTCATACCTGGGTTCTCAGGCTAAGAAACTGTGGTCCGCTGAGTTCAGACGTGGAAGCCAGCCAAGCGAAAGTTTCCATTTCCTCAAAGCTGTCCGAAATCCAAATCCTTTTTCGGAACCCGTTGGGCAAGCACAAAATGGCCCTCTTCCTACGGTACGATATTGAGAAAAAATTCCGGCTTTGCAAACTTTTTCACAGGAAGGTGCGAAAGTCTTG